CGAGCTCGTCTCTGCATGAAGCGAGCGGCAGCACAAGGTGGTCCCAATGTGCCCCGGCACGAACTAAAGCTTGCAAGCTGCGAGGCGAATTCTAGGTCCAGCTGCATCAGCTGCTTTGCTCCAAGGTGCGTATCCAGAGCCTTCGCGTGCTTACCAGGAGGCCATTGTTGACTCTAAGCATCCTGTCAGCCTTGTCCTTGAGTCGCCAGTGTTGAGGTTGAAACGTGGTCGAGATGACGGCGTGTTTCTGGGAAGGAAGTTGTGGAACGACACGGACAGGGCAGGGGGGGGGGGGTAAGGGATTGCTAGAAGGGTGTCTTATTGCAGGGGAGTCGGACCCCCGCCCCCCAGACCCCAGGACAACATGCAGGTGCTACATTACTTGGCTTTGCTGGGTCCGACTGTTGGAAAGGGGGGCTGGCATGCAGAAACTAAGCTCACAGAGAAGCCTGAAAAAAGCTAAGTCAAGCGTTGGAGCTTTGTAGCAGACCGCAGATCTGTCGCCAGGACTTCACAGACTGCGTACTGCGCTCGGAGGATGGCTTGGAGCAAAAAGCACACAAGGTGCAACGGTGGGAAATGGGGCCGCTTGCAGGGAACAAACCACAGAAGCAAACAGCGTTCTGGCTAGATGTCCTACAACAAAGGCCTCTCACTTATGCTAGGACGCTTGGACGACTGTGGTTTCAAAATGGGCAGGCCATTCTTGCAAACGCGTCGCCCGTCTTGAGCCGGATGCTGCGGTCTGCGACCAAGGCCTCCTTGAGTGGAACTTCCCAGAATCTGCCTAGGCTTAAGGGGAACCTGTTCTGATCTTCATGATGCGATTGTTTTGGGGGAGATCCAGGAGCTAGGGCAGCACCCCAGAACAAAGACATAAACTGGAAAGAACTGGATGCTGACGGGGATTCATTTCCGACACCTTTGAAGGCGCTCTCTCCGATTGCTGCCGAGCTTGACTCAACATGGCTTACCCAGCACATACACGAGAGCAAGAAGCCCCTCACCACATCCAAACCTTCGGATGCAACTTGAGAGCTTTCTGCCCAGTCCTTCAGCTGGTTTCTGGGCGCAGGAAGGCGAAGTTACGCTTCCTTGCAGTGGTGAGGTGGTGCGGGCTTTGCTGCACCTCAGCTGACTTGCGTGCCCACTGTAGGCAGACGATGAACGAAGTAAGGCTCAGAAGCCATTCTTTGTCACCTGCATGTGAGTCTTGAACGTGCCATCTGCTAGCACTCGCACGCACAGGGCCTGGGCCAGTTGTTTGCAGGAGTAATTACGGCAAGAAAGAGTAACAGGCAGAGTAGCCACAACTGTGCAGTCGATACTTGAGTGCACTTCAGGAAGCACTGCTACGGGCTGTTCCCTGACATCCGCGCCCTGAAAGTTCAGGCTGCAGTGGGGTGAAAATTCTCGGCACAAGTTCAAGCAAGCGAGATGGGGCCCGGCCAGGATGTGGTATCCCTTGTGGAACAAGCTCATGCCTTGGAGCTGACTTCCTTATCTGAGGACGTGAGTGTACTGGAGCCTGGTAGTCATCATTCAGAACATGTTGCTGTCGCCACAATTTCGAACTTCGGAGCCGTACGCATTCAATCCAGTGGGCTCACGGTACCAGCTGATTCCGGGCAGGATGCTGCGGTTGCTGCCACGCAGTGCTTGACTCCGGAGACAGTTGTCCCCCTGATGCGAGGCTTGTTTGCTTGTTGATGCTGCAGAGTGACGGGGGGACATCGCCTGGGGACATCGCCTTCTTGTTTCGGTCAGGGTGTTTGTGATTTCGATTCAAGCTAACTAGATGTCCGAAGGAACCCGGCGCAAACATGTTTGCCCCCCTTCTGCCTGAGCAACATGTATCCCCACCACCCTGGCGTGTTTCTTGATGCATCAACATCACGTGTTGTTCTAATCAATCTCTTTGGTGCCTGTGGTGCATGGCCATAGCCGGGGAGGGCAAGGATCCTCCGGGCATGGGACTTGAACCTGTGAAGGAGTTGCCATCGAGACTTTGAACTCACTCTTTCGGACCGTGAACAAAGCTCATCGCGTTGAACTGGTAGATCTCTGTCCGTGTGGTTGCCCGCTCTCGACGGTCGTTTTGCCGCACAGTCGGGCGACTTCTTTCGCATCATTTTTGAGCTGAAAGACACCTGCATTTGGCTACGAACGGCCGGATGAATGCACTACACAGCTTCATGAGGACTTACTCTGCGTAACCCTGAAGATTTTCGTTCCCTTTTTTCACCCGTGGCAGTGCCTTGCACCAGGCCTGCGCGCTTTCTACAAAGCCGGGTCTCTGGTTGAAGAGTGGGACAACCTGGTGCGACAGGTGCGTGCAAGACAGGACAGCCCTGCAGCTGCGGCCAGAAGAACTTGTTGACACATCGAGACAGTCGGGAGCCTTGGCCCCCTTTGACGGCACCGAGCCAAAGTCAAGTTCGCTAGGTTCGGAAAGAAGTGGGACATAGTGTGATGTGTAGCTAGAGCCGCTATTTGCATTTCCTCCCGCCGGGAATGTATACTTTGCAGAATCGAGGAAGTTAACAGTCAGCCAGTTATCCCTGGATGCTGCACAATTTTCGACCGTCATGCAGGACCTGTCGCATGCTGCTCTTCTTGGTCTGTGACCCTGCGCCGCTGGCAAAGAACTCAACCAGTTTGCCATGGGCTCCGTGGACGGCAACACTGTGGCTTGTGTGAACTGCTTGTGCTTGCTGTGCTTGGTTTTCATACTTTTCCTGTGTTGCACTGATACTGAGGCTCACTCAGATGATCTCGAACTCCCGTGTGTACAGAATTGGGAGACGGTAGGAGCGCATGCAGCAAAGACCGCTCATCTCACCGGCCTTCATTGTCTATGACCAGACGTGCCAGTTTCGCTACATCTCACCGGCAAACAACTGGGTGAGCAGGATCATGGGTCTTCCATATTGCCGACAAGTCAAACTGAAGTAAGACCACGACAAGTAGGATCTAGAACGCTGACAGATCAGGGTGAGATGATGAGCTATTCCGGCAGCCTTCCAGCCCTGCCATATTTGCATGGTTGGTACTACGCCAACCAACTGATAGCGGCAGTGGCCTGTGACTAGCGCCGTATTTGTCGCCGGTGAGGAGTACGAACACGTCCAAGAGGGCGTCTTGTCCGGTGTTTCACAGACAACCCCGTCTAACATCCCATGCTTTGCATGGAGCAAGCAGGCAAAAACAGTTTCGCCGTGCTTGTTTGCCTTGTTTGCACGGCAGTCCAGGGGACAGTGACAACTACCGAGCAGAGCTTTTTGTCGTGGGATTGCCTGGTGTGCCAAGCCACTTCTGGTTGTCGTCGTGATCTTGGTCTCAGGCTCAACCCAACCCCCATCCTTGCAGACGGTCCGCGAACTTGCGCGTGGCCTCGCATGGCGATGACACCCCGACGTGTGCTTCTACTGCTGTGCAACTTGGAGATCTGGCGGATGGGTCTTGTGGTATGAAGTGAACTGCTTCCGGCAGCCCATGCTGCCACTTTATGCAAGGAGCTACTCTGAAGTGTTGATTCCGTGACCTTTCCGAGTCAATCGAATTATAGGGCTCGTAGATGGCAGAGATATGTACACAATTTACGGAATTTTATTTACGGGATTTTACGCAAACGGTTTGCAGATCTGTCTCAGGCACCACGAGAATGTGTTTGGCTGCATCCTGCCGTGCAGACGGCGAGGCACCCTAATGTTGTGGCTTCAGCTTTGCTAGACTGTACGAGGGAGAACATCCTGTGACCTCTCAAGTCGATAGCAGGATCGGCACTGCAGCTGAGCTGTGGCACAGATCCATTGCACCAAGTCCCGTCAGGCTTGTGACGCCGAGGACCAGGCACTTCTTCAGCACGAGAGCAACCCCAGGACTGCCTGTGCGAATACAGCCCTGCAATTGTCAAGAGAGGGAAGAGGCAGAAGCATCCTTGGGGTAGCTTGCCGGAGCTCTTTGCAGCAGAGGGGCAAAGTAGGAGTCTGAGCAAGCAGCGGTTGCAGGCATCATGCTCCCTAATTTGCAGTCGCATAGTTCGTAGATGGGCCACTGATGAGGGTGAGCCCAGAAAGAAGTCGTCCTTGCCGTGCCTCTTCTACATGTTTGTCGACTTCATCGGCAGGTTCAACATCCTCCAGGTGTCCCAGGCAACAGTGCCAAAGGCCAAGCGATGTGCAAACGAGCACTGGCCTCTGCGTTGTACGTTGAGCCAAGCGAGCGTGGACAACTGACACTCCTCTCGTGCCTCCGAGGTACTTTACAAAGCTCGCATCTGCCAACCTTTCCAGCGAGTACAGGCCTCCTTCTCGACGTCGATCTGGAGCATAAGTCTAGACTGGAGAACCTAGGGCTAGATACCGCGAGAGGCAGAAGTTCACATGTCACAAAACGTGATCGGGGCAAAACCCCAAACACAAGGAAGGTGCTCAGCGGCCGAGGGACCGATACAATCCCTCAAGCCTCAAGCCCTGGAGAATAGAGTTCAGGCAAACCTGCTACTGCTAGTGAGCTTCTAACGTCGCTTCTTCCTGCGCGGAAGAGAACTTGGTTCGGCAAGAGATGCTCTGGTAACGGAAGAATTCACACGACATCACGCGACGGTTCGGCCCAATGTGCCAGACCGTTGGCAGTTCCCAGGCATCAATCAAGGCATCTGGCTCGAGGCGTAGGTTGACTCCAGGCAAGCATCACTCTTGCTTGACCAATGGCACACGGAGAAGCTTGAGTCGTGGAATGCCTTTCTGACCTGTAAAGATCACGTTCATATTCTTCAGTTTTCGTTAGAGTCGAGGCTCCACGATGGGATACTGGAAAGGCCATGACGCAACTGGGGAAAGTTCGGGTAATTGTCGAAGCCTGTGGATTTAGCATGACTTACTAATTCCAAACTTCGAAGACAACCGCAGAACTAAGGAATTATATGCAAGTCGGGACAGCAAACGGTGAAAGGGATCACCTAGCAGTCCTGGTCCTAGCCCTAAATGCGCAAGAACCATTCCAGGAGCACCCTGGCAAGTTGCTGGGCCACCCCGTGAGTCCAAAATGAAGCATGCTTCGCACCCCAGAAATGAGAACGAGAACGGCACATGGCGACACAGCGGTATTGTAGCGGGAGCACGACAGCGGCAAGCGGGCAACGCACAGGGGAAGACGCTTTGCACCACCTAAAAGCACGCAGGGCATCGTCGAGGGAGTACAGCCACATAGCACGGCGGGCATGATTTCCAGACCACGTCGACTGGGGCGGAAGCACGATTTCCACCCAAAATCTGCACGGATCGGCGCTTTTGGCGGACCAGGCCCCAGCAGGCCAGGGCTGGAATGAATGTGATTTTGGATCTGCCTCCCGCCACAAGGGGAGCTGTGCAACAACCACGTCCTTTTACCCTAAGTGCAAGAGACCTGTGAGAGGTAAGAAAAGCGCAAGAACCGGTAATATTACGAATAAGTGTCACGACTCTTTTACGTCCGAGTTCCTGCTGCGTGAGGCCGTGGAGATATCGTAGCTCGATGCCGGCAAGCGGCTTCCTGCTTGCACTCGGCAGCTTCTGGTTGACTGCTCACTTATTTGGTCCCATGTGCGAGTACCAGGTTAACTAGCTTGACTTTCTTGGTTGCTACTTTCACTAGCTGCGACTGTAACAGCACTGATGGCGCGGACTTCGAGAATGATGATGATTAGGATCATGGTGATGGTGACATTGGTGGGGACAGTGTTTATGTTTGTTGCTGCAGCTCGTGCTGCCACAACGACCTCCTTTGTGCAGCGGATGTAGAGCCAAGCCTCGCCTTGAGCTAAGGACGCAACATGGTCATCGGTGCGGGCATGGGCACCACGGGCACGCACAGCACCTTAACTGAAGGCAGTGCAGGAACTGCGAGTTATAAACCACCTCCTTAAGGAAAGTCGCTTGTCAAGAACGCAGAGGCTTCAGGTCAGCTCCGAACCAAGGTGTGGTGGTCGCGTTGGAAGAGCTCGGACTGAAAGGACATGACGCATTGCATGAGCAAGCAAAGTTCGAGGTTTTGCACCCTCGCGCAGGATACCATTTCAGGGATGCTCGAGCGTCGGCCAACGAGCACGCCAAAGAGCATGGGCTACCGGACTACGTCGTCCCGATTGTCGAGCAGCTTAAGCAAAATACGACTGCGTGTGTCTTGATCTGCAAGACCGGAACTAGGCACCGGACACCTCAATCGTCAACACATTGGGTTGTCTTGCTTTGAGCTTGAAAATCGCTGCGCTTGTCTTAGACTAGACTGCGTTTGGTGTCAGCAGACTGCCCGTGCTTCTCTCCCGTACGCTGTAGGCTATGGTGCCATCGAGACCTTTGACTTCAGCACACTTCCTGGCAACGTCGACTATGCCTCTTGGCCCGAGCAGAGTAGCGAAGTTCCACGCCATGGCACCTTGTTGACCAGCAGGTGAGCGACACACCCTTCACGGAGCTTTTCCTGGACATATACACGCAGTTCCCCACGGCCAAGGTAGTGCTGACAACGAGGCATGAGAATACAGCTTGTGAGCAGGGAAAGCTGGCAGCATGGGTGTAGCAAGATCAATCGATGGTAGCCCGCTTCGCGATTGCCCTTGTCATGATTCGCAGCCTGCGGGTCGTAGTGGACTTGCATCCTCCCAGAACTCGTACTGCCAGACGGCGGTGACCACCGCAACAGCAGCAGAAGCAGTGGCGGCAGTGCCTCCGCCGGCCGAATAAGCAGCATAAATGAGATAGTAACAAGCCCTGACAACGGCAAATACCCAGACAGAGACAGACAGACAGACAGACAGACAAACAAACAAACAAACAGCAACCAACCACACAAACAAACAAACAAACAAACAACAGCAACAACAACAGCAGCAGCAGCAACAACAACAACAACAAACAGCAACAGCAACAACAACCACAACCACGACCACAACCACGACAACAACAGCCGCAACAAAGTACCAGCAGCAGCAACAACAACAACAACAACCACAGCCACAGCCACAACCACAACCATGACAACAAACTAGCAGCAATAGCAGCAACCAGACAACATCAAGAGCAGCAAACAACAGATCGGCAACAAGTAAAAGCAGATAGCGGCAACCAAGAGCAGCAATGGCCATCGCAGCAGCAACAACAGCTGCGGCAACAGCAATAGCAAGCGGCAGCTGTGAGGAGGGCCTAGCAGCGAGATTTTCAGCACTTCTCCCGCCAGACCTGTTGAATTAATTAGACTGCCTTTTTAATGGCATTCTGATGAAAGGCTCTGTGTGTTTTGCAGCGAGGCCTAGCCTGGATTGGGCGAAGAGCCGGAAAAAGCATGCTAAGTCTCCACCGCCGGCGTCTGCCTCAGAGTTGTTTCAGTCCCAGGCCTTGTCATGAGACACCAGCAAGATCTTGTGCCAGGGGAATTCACGTCTTTCCGGTGTGATTGGTATCATTCTCTGTTTGAGCTTAGGGGTTTCTTCTGGCCGCTCCCTGGTCGATGCCCTGCTTCCCAGGTTCTCAGGCCCTGCGGCCTGGCAGGCGTGAAAGATTACGCAGAAACAGATCTAGATGCTTGCTTGCATGAAGGACCCTAAACCCCGAAACCCCGAAACCCTAAACCCTAAACTGTGTGCAAG